AAGAAGACAGAGAATCCAAAATCAACGGCTTTAAGCGAAAAAACATCATCCTTGTTAACCAACACAAAGTTCTCAGGCTTCAAATCTCTGTGCATAACCCCAAGAGAATGGCAAGTCTCCACAACCCCAACAACAATGTTTATCAGCTCAGCCGCCTCTCTCTCACTAAAATACGCCTTCTCCTTGATTAGGTCATACAACTCACCTCCACAACAAAGCTCCATGACAATATGAACACACAAGGAATCCTCGTAGGCACCTTTGATTGTCACGACATGTTTCTGACCAGACAGATGTTGCAGTACCCTAATCTCCCTCCTGACATCCTCAACCTGCTGATCGAACTTCAGATTGCTTTTGGGTATCGATTTACATGCATACTCAATGCCAGTGGCAATCTCAGTACACAAATAAGTAGTCCCAGTACTTCCCCTACCTAATTCACGACCAAAAGTGTAGAGTTTATGAACATTAGGAGTTTCATGGTCCAAGATGTTACAAGCCTTGTCACCTATGGTTTCTTTCCTGCTGGGAAAAACAAGATCTGGGTAAACAAGAATCTGGGGAAAGTTGCAGTTGGAATTGGAAGAACAGTCCTGTATCTGATCATCAAATTTGTCTCCCAGGAGGGAACCAATGCATGTGTTGCCCATGAAGCTGACAATATAATAAATTTCAGTAATGGGAACAATTTATATATTTAATACAATTGAAAACATGCAAAGAGAGGAGAAGCTTCAGATCAATTAGATCATTCAACTGATAAAAGAGACAGATCCCAGTATAATTTTACAGTGAATTTATATGCCTATCATGATAGACTTTATTCTTTTCTCCTTTATTAAGTAGAACTGTAGAACTAGGAGTTTCCCTACAATAAAACCCTAGATAGTACCTAACGTGAAAGAAAAAAATCCAACCAACTTAGAATTCCTTTTTATTTTTAATTTTTTAAAATAAAATCACATTAAATAATGTTGTTCAGATGTAGTAGTCATATACTAAATTATTGCTGAGAAAATAAACATTAAATATGTTTTTAAATAATTAAATATGGTCTTTATGCCAACAACTATATATATACACACAACTTGATGATTTCTTATTTATTAAGAAATTAAAAGCTTAAATTTGAGTGGAAATTCTTGATTTGCAAAATTGTAAATTGATACAAATTTGTTTGCTATTGAAAAGGAAATTTTAACAAATTTTAATTAATTAGAATATAATATATA